ATTCTCCAAAGTATGCAAAAATCTTTCAGGATACAAATAAGTATCTATATACAGGTGTTATAATAAAGAATTTAGATGCAGAACTCAATTCAAAAATTTTAGATAACAAATCAGTGCATGACCACTCTGCATGATTCTGAAGAACCATTTCAGATTTCCTACCTATCATAAAATTACCTTTTCAGACTAGCCTACGAAAAGTCTGCCATTCTGCTATTTGAACCAACTCCATTTTAAATGGTCCTTTTATAGTATACGGTTATAAACCAACTAAACCTTCTTACTCTAAATATTAAGGAAAAGCAAGACATAGAAAGCAAATCTCTAATATACAAATACTATTTATCAACATGCCACTCACAGAACCCATTTTCTATGACTTCCTAGAAGAAAACATCTACAATTTTCCTTTTCTCCTACAGAACAAACTGACTCAAAATTTTGAAAAGACATAAACTATAATGTTGTGGGCAATATGTTAGGTATATAAACAGTATGCTTGCTCATCCAGTATGACAATTTGTATTAAAGTTTAATGCTCACATATTTTCCAGATACTTAAGCTTGATAAATACGTATAAGAAGTCAATCAAATCAGATTTATTTATGTGGCATAATAAACACATATGCCACAATTATGTTATGTATTCTCATTTCAACTATATAAAAATTGGACTGAGAAAATTATCAAATTTTTAAATACTTATCAAACTTACACTAGCTTTTAAACACTGTATTGCAGTAAGCCATTAATTTCCCAATTTTTCAAAATATTATAGAATTTGAATGGTACTTTTCAGAGGGCAGATACAGTATCTATTGATAGAACATTGGTTCAAAAAGAGAATTTAAGCATTCTCTCACCTTCCAAAAACACAGTAATTGCAGTGCGTAGAAGGAGGTCATCCTGGCCAGCTGGAATGCTATACTTAAATGAGGTTACACAAATTCACTAAGTCCTTGGCCCAGAACAAACTCGGGCATAGTTACTGTGCTACTATTCTGAATTGTACTTAACGACCAAATTCTGGAAATGGATTCAGGCTAACTCTGGATTAATTATCATTTGTTTAATTCTCCTAAAAGGAAGGAATGAGAAGCTGGTTAGCCAGCACCCTAGAAAGTGGTTCCTTTTCTACCAAAAAAGTCATAGTAATTCCTATCAAAATTAAATTCTCACAACTCTGTCCACATTTCCCCATGTATATTTGGACAAGATTGTTTTTAAAAATCAGACCAATCTAGACCTAAACCTCCTAAACAGTGTAATTTTTTTTGCAGAAAAAAAAATCTTAATGATTGGGATGGGTGGAAGATGAAGAACTTTTTCCAGTTTGTAATTAAAATTTTGAGATTTAGTACATTGGCTGCCAAGTAACATTTATTTAAATGATTATTCACAGATGATATTAAAGATGGGGCCAAGACAAATACAGATGAGGTATAAAAGAAACATAAAAGGTTGTGACATAAAGCACCCTAAATATTAAAGGTAAAAGCAAGTTATACATCAAATATCATTTAAAAAGTTGAAAGTCTAAAATTCTGCACTTTGACTCCTGGTTCTTAATTTAAATCACAACTACTGGCTTTGATATTTAATAATAGTAACTACCATTTAAATAAATACCATGTTCCAAAAATAAGACTAGGCCCATTATGGATATACATAATTTAATTTAAACCCAGTCACAGTTCTGAAAAGCTTTGTCTGTATTTCACAAAGGATGAAACTGAGGTCCAAAATGTAATTATAAAGAAAAGAAAAACAAACAAACAAAAAAACCACAGAGCCAGAACGGAGATTCAAAGGTCTGGCTTGAGAATCTGCACTTTCCCTGATGTATCCTTTATTCTCTACAGTACAGTCAATCCTTGTTCCTATTTCAAGGTTCCATTATTTGCAGACTTCCTCCCTTAAAATGTACTTGTGGCTCCCCAATCAGTCCTCACAGGCCCCCGCAGTCACCCACAGACATGCACACCGGGGAGCAGGCTGCATCAGAGACCTATGCCTCCAGCTGAGGGCGACCCGGCGTCGCCTCCTGCTCTGCCTCTCCCACCAGAACCAGGTATCCTTTGTGTGGTCTGTTTTATGCCCGCATCACTGCTTCTCTATGCTTTGTGGCGGTGATCTCACCACTTAACACGGACGGCCCTGCGGTACAGCGCTAAGTGCCACAGGTATTTAGTGGGGTGTCTCAGGGAGAAGGCACGTGTGGACTCAAGCCTGAGTTCCCGTCTATCGGACAGGAGTTCGCTGTTAACAGGTCTAAGATGTGTGGCAAATGTCTCTGAACACAGATAGACAGAAGAAGAGGACATGCACTCATCAGCTGGTGAAATGCTGAGAAAATAGGCTTAAAGGAACCCATTCCTGTTTCCCCTGGGGAACAATGGTCCAGCACCACTGACCCAGTGTCCACCAGGACTGCATGGAACATGACGGTGCCACCTAAGGAGAGGTGACCGCAAACATTTCCCCAGAGGAGTGTGTACCTGAAGCTTCAGCAAAAGATTTTCCTGCTGTCACTTCCTTCAGAACCACCACAAGTTACATGTTTGCAGTCCTGATTTCCATTTCAGAAAAAGCAACCCTTTCTTGCCATCCTGCCTAATGGATTGCAGCTACATGTACTTGACTTTGCTTAGAAAATTAACATCTTTCAAAAAAACAACTGGGCCCTTGCACCACGAAGCTCTCATATAAATAAATTTCTTATTAGCAAAAGCCATGAATATTGTTGCAAGGTGACTGTTTTGTGAGATCATGATTTATGTATAATGTAAATAGAAACAGTAAAAACTTAACACAGGAAATCAGAAAAATATTGGCACAAATTAGAACTCTTACCTTTGTTGTCCAAGTCAGAGATTTTATTGAAGAAAAAAAAAATTACAGTACTTTAAAATTCAAACAAGGACAATTCAGGGTTCAATGAAAGAAAACGTGAAGGAGCCCATTGTCTTCATTAAAATTTTGAATACAATAAAAATTTTCAAAAGCCCCACAGACCAGGAAAGGTTTATGGCCTAATGCGTTAGTTCCATTATAAACACATACATATATAGTGTATCTCCACCAAGTGAAACTTAATCACCTTTTTACAATTTAGAAAGGGAAGGCAGCTTTTAGTACGGTGAAGCCATGTATCATCAATACCATGAAGCTCACCTATCAGTTGTAATAGCTTCTATAAAATACCACAGTGAGATTGCACTAAGCTTAGAAAATGGGCTACAAATCCCAGCTATGCTCAAGCAAGCAGTGAACCAAAAATAAAAATAGGTAAAACTGAACCAAGAACTAGATAGAATTCATCTAGATTCATGATTGGTAAGGCAAAGTTGAAAGGCCAAGGTTTTAAAGTGACTTATTCAGATTTGAAAGACAGTCATTACACAAAATAAAAGCATTCATGTAATTGAGCAAAAAATATTTTCACTCCAAACACATAGCACAAACAAGCTTGTGTACAGTTTCTAAACACCACATTATTGTTTCTTTAATTATCGGTTTAATAAATATGCAAAGTAAAGAGACTCAGAGTTGGGCTTTTTCATTTTTAATCTCTCCAGTTAGATAAGCAATCTAAAAGGAGATGTCATACATTCCTGCTTCATGAATTCGTGAATAAAATCTTTCAGATTGCAATGACTTTACTTAAAGGCAATGTCAACTGTAAGTTTCTATTTCAATCATATTTAAGTTACCATTAAATGCTGAATTAACAATCCATACAATATAAAAATATACATATTAAATCACATTGACTTCATCAATTCTCTTGGAGTTTAATAAAATATTCATCATTTTAATATAACACTGTAAAGGACTCTGGGGGCCTGAATTTATGCAGATGTCCACCATCCACAGAAATGTCACCTGCCCCTCCACCCCTGGTTGGGGAAAATGAGCTTATGCAGGTGTCTGGAGCTCACAGAGACAGACAGGCCTGCCATTCTAACTGAGTAGGCAGCTCCTGCCTAGGAATAACATGATTCAGGGTCACACAATATTGGTTAAAATACCAGGCTTCACATGATTTCATTAGACTCTGAGCCAAAATCAAAACCATGATACATTTTCAGATATCTGACAAAACAGATGATTTCAAAGGTAATAGTAAATGACTCTACTAGTAGAGACAGTGATTACTGTGGCTAGTCCAGATGAAGGATGATTTCTGCAGTACAATGAACACTGTACTATAAAATACAATGCGTTTGCAATACAGAACAGATTATCCAAGTAGAAACAAAACTGAACAAAATACAAACTCCAGCAAAGATCATCAACCCTACCTATTACCTATCTTAGCCCTTGTTAAAATACCCTGAGTAAAATGCAGTTATTATAAATAATGCTGGTTATAGCAACTTCTCTAAAAACGGTGATAATTGTCAACGTGCCACGTTTTTTATTTACAACAGCCATAGGTAAAAGTTAATTCTTAACCAGTCACAATATAAACATTGAGGAATATGTAGGTAAAATCTAGAAGTTTTTAACTGTCTAGCTTTTGTTAGTATTTTGGCAAAGCAAGTAATACATCAATGGATTCATTGTAAAAAATAATCATAAAAGAAAAGTATATAAAATTTACAGTAGTTTCTATCCACCCTGGGCCATCCTAGCTCTCTACAAGCCTCCCCAGTCAGGTTTGCTTCTGACTGACAGGAAGAATATCCAGCCAAAACAGCCCCATGTCTGCACCAAAGAGGCTCTCACTTCAGTGATTTCCCTCCGGGGAAGAGGCCAGGAGCCAGGGTCCCTCGAGTGTCATTCCCCAGATGTTCAAAACGTAACTAATTTATTAGCATTAGAAGATTTGGTTTATAGGGGAATCTCACTGGTCCAGTTTGTAGCCTACAAAAAAATGGATTATTTTTAAGTATAAAATTAGAATATAAATAAAGGATGAGGATGTGGCTTTTTATTCCATAGAAATGGAAGCATTTCCAAACATGAGAATTCAATTTAAAGAAAGCATGCCTACCATTGAAGGTGGGGTCCCTGTGGGTTTTTTAATACACTTGGAAGACATTCCTTGGAGGCGACTGAGTCGGGCTTGGAAACCTGGAATATCAAGGTACACAGTTTAGGAGGTTCTGTGGTCACTGGAGCACAGAAGACCCCTCCGATAGAGAATTAAAAGTACGGGCACGGAGGGGACGAACACCATGACTATTACTGGGACAAACTCAGACTCACACTGGAAAGAACCACAGAGCTGCTGGTGACATGCCGGTGCAGCTGGCCCTGCCTGACTAGTGTCTAGACCCCAGGAACAGCGACAGACAGTTCTTTCCTCCTAGTTCATGGGAGCCTAGCAAAACCAAGTCCAGTTTTCTAACAATCTGTAAAGGAGGGACATAGCTGGCTCAGCCATCAGGCGCGTCTTTATGCTGGCCAGTGTTTACACCCTCCCACTCCAATTGAGCCCATCTTCTTTCAAGGACCATTCCAAGGCTGACCACAAGCCCACGTACCCACCAGTTGGGAAGTGTCACTGACCTCTTCTCCCCGGATGCGACATAAGGGGGAAAGAACCAGTTAAGATACTTTCAAAGACGGGGTCCGGCAGATTTTTGTCCAGCTCAGTGAGGTCTTCCTTCTCCCACCAGGGCACGACACCAGTGATGCCACACGCTCCACCCGACTCTTTCTCGTAGAACCAGTCGCTCTGCTCATCATCGCCTGAGAAAAGACAAAACATGTCCCCAAAGATTCAGTCTACACACACACACACACACACACACACACACACGCACACACACACAATTCAAGTTGTGAGACAATAAAAATGGAAGACGTGAGTTAAATCTGCATTGCAGATAAAAGATTAACTTCTAATGTAAATACACACCTTTGTTCTAAATTTCTAGCATACGGCATGGGATATGGTGGAACTAAAAATGTTATTTAGCTACAATTCACATTAAGTGGGGAGCCTCTATTTTAGCTGGTAATCACATACATAAAACAGAAATTCAACTTTATGACACAGTTTTACTTAAGAAATGTTCTCTAATACTTAGTCAGACACTGCCACCAAAACATCCACAACATGTTGTGCCTTCTGACCACTTTAAAAACTAAGAAAACAAAAATTAGCTCACTAAAAACTGTATGAAAATCCACTTACACGACTCTCCTTTCCACATTAAGAAAAATCAACCCTTAATCCCCACTAGGAATTAGAAAGTAGGAAAACTGTGGAACCCACTCTTTGTAGCTGATAATAGTATATAATTAGCTTAATGTCATGATATGTATGGCGTGGGAAAGGGGATACAATCATGAACAGATGTGACTAAATGAAATTAATCCAATTAAGTTCATTAAGAAATAGTTTTGAAAAAGGTGATTTTAAATAAAAAGTGACAATACAGGAGTTAATGAAGAAACTATATAGAACTATTATAAACAAGGCATTTTAAACAAAGACCACCATTCAGTGATGGTGACTTTTGAGAATATTTATTAATGTAATCACTATATAATGATCAATTTAACATTCAGACTGACACAGGCTCTTGGTGAAAAACAACACTTAGTTTTTTAAAACATGAATTATTAAAAGCTATTTAGATATAAAAAAACTTACTGCAGACGCCTTTTAAAAATGAGGCAAACAGCAATTTGAACCTGATAGCGTGAGCACCATCAGTGTCCTCTCACCTTTCAGAACCCACTACCAATTCTGCCTGCCCAGAGGGTCGAATAGCTACCATTAACTGTTTCCCTTCAGAACAGATTCTTGATTTTGAAAACCTTTTACTACTACAAACATTCCAATGGCAAAATAACTGAAAATGATTTTATGGAAAAAAGCTGTATTTAAAGTAAAGTAAGACTGAAAAATTCAAAAGCAATCGTGCAGCTAGAGTCATAGATTCTTTCAACTGAATAGTTAATAACAATTTCTAAAATAGCATAATTCTTAAACATAATAAAAAACCAAGGGTCACTTGAAACCAGCTACCCTAAAGCATAATTCTCATGAAGACAAGATTAGTCTAGAAAAATGAAGGTTTTTTTCTTCTTCTTTCTTTTTTTAGGCTTAAGTACAACTTTACCGTCGGAGAGGGACTCAGCCACTGATCAGGAGCTCAGGGAGAGTCAGACAAACCAACTGAATCCTAGTATCCTATAATATTGAGACAGTTACTCCAACTGCATTAATATAGGCCTACTCATTTTAAAAAATTGGGACCTCAAGGGTTTAGAGAAGAAAATAACAAAGTAAGTTAATACAAGAAAAGTACATAGCAGCATGAAATACAGTTAATACATAAGAAATGCTAGGTATCATTCTAATCCAAGCAACACTTTCAAAAGATGGATGGAAGAGCTCATCAAAAAGTTGCTTTTAAATAAATTTCATCAAGGCAGGCATGGGGGTGCAGACCTGTAACCTCAGCACTCAGGAGACTGAGGCAGGAGTGTTGTGGCAAGTTTGAAGATAGCTAGGGATGGACAGTGAGACTATAGCTAGCCTCGACCACACAGCAAGACCTTGTCACCAAAAACACCAAAGAAAAAATCAGAAAGAAAAAAAATTTCATTACATTTACAATGTAATGTTAACTAGAGATCTACATTTTAATGAGAACTTAGGTGGAATATTACCATGCAAACTTTCTTTTACTACTGAGATTCTAACACATTTTGGCAAACTCACAACTTTGAAAAGTCTATAGTTAGTAGACAGTATGGTACACACTCGTAATCTCACCTACTAGGGAGGCTGAGGTATGAAGACCAAACGTTCAAGATCAGCCTGGGTAACTTAGATCCTGTTCCACAGTAAAAACAAAAAGACCTGGGCGTGTACCCCAGTGCCAGAATGCCCTTGGTGTCAATACCCAGTACTGGGGGAAGAAAAGGTATGTTCTTTAAAAGTTAAGTACCTATAAATCTGAGACAAAAATTTGTAAGTAAGCAAAAAAGGAATGATCATTTTTCTCTGCATAACTCGTACAGGACTGATGGACAGACCAAGGAAAGAAGTGTGGACAGCTACTGGTCCTTTTTCTATAACATTATTAAATGCAATTTAAAGCAAGTCTATTGTGTTTCTTTTAGAACTTACTGGTTTAACATTTTCTTAAGAAAGGAAGATACGCTTTGTGATGAGCTTAAGGTCATGACTGTTTGGAGTCTAAGGGAAACAACCATGCGTAGCTGAGTCTAAATGAAATTAATGCAATTAATGATGGATTCTGTCTTCTTGTTGAGTTTTGTGTATTTTTCATTGCTTCAAAATATGCCTCGTTAAGTGTGAAAAGCTTCAGGAAGTTTTAAAGAGAGAGAACATCTGAGATATGATACATTTCTCTTGAACAGTTTATAATACTGAATTCATGAAAATCCTTCAGCTACTGACAAACTGGATGGATGAATAAATATCACAGCTGCATAAAAATGACAAATGACTGGTGAATTCACCTTTATGAATGCTTAAACAGTTTTAAACACACTTCAAATCAGAGAAAAGGGGAGCCAGGGCCTTGTGAACTTACTAAGACACAGAATGGAAAAGGCTCAAGTATGTGAAACTTTTTCAGGAAAAACAATGCCTCCCTAATGTCGTCAGCACCGCGCACTGGCTTTGGGAGATACTCAGTGACGGCAAAGTCACGAAGAAAGGACTCCTCCCGTAGCAGGTAGGAACCCAGCTCTGCGCTAACCCAACCTGCTGAGCAGCATACAAAGAACATGGAGTGCAGCAGTCCATTCAGGGCATGACCAGTCACAAACACAACTTTAAAAGGAAGATCTTGCCCAAAGAGAAGAGAAAACGGTATTTCAGTACCTTGTCTTCCTTCATCATTGGTAAACAAACCCGCATCAGTGCTGCTGAGGCTGCTGGAATCACTGTAACGAGAAAAGAAAAAAAAAAAAGAAAGAAAAGAAAAAGAAACAGATCAAAAGAACAATTGATCTCTCAGTCGTAAAATTTTAAAGAGACATGGCAGCCCAGACATGGAACTTGAGCCAGACAAAGATCTGAAAGAAAATAAGATGATTTTTTTTAATCAAACTGCAAATACCCTGGTTCCATTAACTACAGAACATATTATTTTTGGCACATAAAACCCCAGGAATCTAATGGGACCCAGACAACAAGCCAGATGTGACTGCAACGAGGTGCTGACAAAATTGATGCGTTTTATTATGTGCTTCCATCAAACGCTCGCTGCTTCTTTCTTTCGCTGTGCAGTTCAGCTGGAGCCTGAAACACCACTGCTCAGTAAAAAGGGGAGACTCGCTGTCACAGCGGGCCGGACTCTTCTCACCCCAGGGAAGGCAAGGACCTAGGAGGAGGCGACTTCTCATCACCACATCTGCGGATATTCTGGAACAGGTATTACTTAAGAATTCACAACTCTATTACTGCACAAGGAAAAAAAAGTTTATGATGCAGACGACCCACTAAATCAAAATTAAGGTCACTCTGAGCAGCAAAAAAGGGTTTTACTGAAAGATTAAGAGTATCTGCAAAAATTACACTGGTTCTCATTACTTCCATGCAAGTTTCAGGCCATGATACAAATTCATATTTAATATGCAAATTAAAACAAACGGCAGACATGTAACCAATGTGCACAAACTGTCACTGGGCTCACTGTGGGCTCTAACAGAAGTCTGTATGACAATCTAGTTAGCTTCAAACACCAAGCAAATATGAACATATAATAAGAGGTTTAGCCTGTAAAAAAAAATTTAAGTGGTATTCTTTAAAAATGCTCATATACTTTACTTTTAACTGAAATTTTTAACTTTAGACAAGCAGGAAATTGCCCAGGTAATTTTTTATATTAAAATACTTATTTCCATTAACCGAATAATATAACCTGACTTAGTAAAAAGGAGGCATCTTAACCTGTTTTAAAATATTTAAATTGAGATAAATAAGGTTAAAATTATTACAAAGGCTGAAATGACACATATTTTATGAACATAAAACATCAATTTTGTTATTTAATTATTAGTGAAAAGTCTAATATTAATATTAGTGAAAAGTCTAAGAATCTATCAAGAAGTATATTTCAAAGAGCTCTAGATTAGAAACTTCTGTAACTTCAAATTAAGTGGACATATGAAATTATCTACACTATACAATTGGTAATAAAGTATTATTTTAAGGGCATTAAATCCATATCACCTTACTTATAAACACATACACTCTTCTATGCATAGTAATATTAGATTATTAAAAAAAGTTTCAGAAATTTCAGCTGCCTGCTCTTTAGCCATCCAAGCTACCACTGATGTTTTTCTTGTTGTTCCATCAACACAACTAAATGATGGTCTATACTTTTTCCGAAACTCTTGGGGAAAACACATTTATAATTCAGAATTTCTCAAATTTTAGAAAGGTATACTTGAAAATGCCTTAGAAGAACCTAGAGTTCTCTGTAATGAAATCCACTATATTTTTCAATTATATAAATGTTCATAGTTCAGTCCACAAGTCTGGCCACAAGTCAGTTTTTCACAGCTTTTCAGAGTTCAGATTTGCAGGCTGTGAATAAATGTGCAATTTTTCTTTTTGGCACTGTGATTTTTGAGCTAGATTTACCCTTCTAATCTTCTACATACAGCCAGGTTTATCTTTTCAAAATATAACTGATTGACTAAAAATGTTACACCCGGAAACAGATAAAAAGACTTTAAATAAAGCAAAGGAAAGTCTAATAAAACATGAACTTTAAAGTATACCAATATTGGTTCATTACCTGTGTCAAAACTTATCACACTAATTACAATTTAACTGTATCAAATTGGAAATTAAGTGTTGAGTGTATAGGAATGTGATATACATAATTCTCCAAACTATCTTCATGATTTCTCTGTAAACTTGAAACTATATCAAGAGAAAACTTCATGAATTATATACATACATATGCCATGTTATATGCAGGCAATCTATCTAAAAATCTAAAATCATTACCTTAACATCTGTCGGATTAAATGCAGATCTGAAGGTTTTCTGTGGATGTGTTTTCATCTAAACTCTTCGCAACTTCAAGACTCTAGTCCTTTTGTTTGTGCTCGTCTCCAGGTGTTGTGCCCAGCATCCCAAAGACACAGGAAATCAGAATTTCCTCTCTCAGACCAGCCTGCAGGCCTTCATGAGCCTTGCCTGTCTGTGATATTTTTATGTTTCTTTATTTACATTAAACCTCACTGATATGCAGCTGACTGTTCCATACACACAATATGCTTCTTGCTATGTTCAATAATCAGGATAAAAACTTACAATGAGAGGCCTTTCACCATTAGCAGCTGATGATCAGCCATGCTCATCTCTTCTCTCCTTTTTGGTATGGTTTTTGCAGTACAGTATTCAGATGAGAATATATTCCATAAATGTTTGTTGAATAAATGGAGGTACACTAACCCTAATCCCTGTCCCTCCTTCTAGTTTTTCCAAAACAGACCCCTGTGTATCTGAGAGCGTCACCGTCCCAAATACAGTCAGGCCACCTACAACTGCTTCCATCTCTTAAGATCGCTCTCAGAGCTTCTTCTGGGCCACCAGCAACCCAGTACTTCGCCTGCCACTAGACGGACTGGAGGTCAGTCAAGTGCAGACAAAGCACTCCTGCCAAGGTCACCTTACCTTGATAAAATGGGTATCTCATGGAGTGTTTCCACGGCTATAAATTCTCCACTGACTTCTCTGGCCTGTGTGATGAAATCTTGACTGTTTACCATAGCCTAACTGTTTATCACAGCACACAGGCGGTCCAGAAATGCTGAGTGCTGGGCATGTCATCCAGTACTAGTGAGCTACTCACACTGGTCACGGGCCAGGCCCTTGCACAACCCGCACCATCCCCTCAGCCTAGAGGTCCATTCCCCTTCTCTTCTACCCCTCCCGCCTCCCAACAAGTCCTGGTTCTTGCTTTAAAGCATGGTTTCTCTGGAAAGTCTTCCAGCCTGATTATCTTCCGCACTGTGGGTTCCATCTTCTGACACCGCTCGCCACTGAGGACAATCTGTGCCCCTAGTCCAGGACCCCCTGTAACTATGCCTGTCAGTGCACCAGTGTTTGCTAAGTCTGAGATCCACACTACAACAACAGCAACAACAACAAAAGCAAAGTTGTTCTTATTTATAAACCTGTTGCAAGAAAATGTCGAGTGTTCTGAGTAGGAAAACTTTGCGCAAGAGTTCCTCTTGTTGAGAAAAAGCTGATGGGACACAGCAATCTTGCTACAGAGGCGTTCTGTTCCTAAGCCCTAAAGGCAAAGGAATATTAAATACGGAAGTTTAAAACCAGAGGAAATACGCCTTTTTTACTTCGCTTAAGACTGAAAATATCCTCTTTAAAAATCAAGACATGGATTACAAATTATTCAAGAAAATTTTTGTCTTCAGAATGAAGAGAGATAAATGAGGGGCATTTCATCTAATTTCTGTTCCGAGGGAGGGTTGCAAGATGCAGACTGATAAAAGGAAATCAAAAATGAACAATAAAGAAGTGAATAAATAAGTGAACTTGGCTTGCACAGTCGAAAAGGAGATAATCTAACTGTGAATAATCTAGAATTAGGACTTTTACCTGGGCCTCAACACGCTGCCCCAGGAACTGAGAAAGGTAATTACTGGAGGTCAGCCTGAGTGGTCCTCAGCCACAATGGCACACCACTAGCAAACAAATGACTGTCACTCCCATGTCAAAGGGACGACTTTCCTAAAAGAAAAACGGGGACTGGAACTTTTCAATGCCTTCCTGAAAATTTTTTTACTTTATACTTTTCTTAAGAAAAATTACAAGACTAGTAAACTGTCTAGTAAAACAGTCACTCTATAAACTCCATCAGGTCCTGGTCATGCCTACAATATTTATAAGTAAAAACAACAAACCAAAATGAAACTATCCTAGAATCCATAAGATTAAAATAATCCCAATCCTACAAATCAATTGATACTGGTCCCCATTCCATTAATACAGAATTTTTTTCCTGGCTCATAATTACACAATTGGTTTTTTTTTTTTTTTTTTGTCTTTTTCGTTTTTATCGGTACCAGGGATCAAACTCACGACTGCCTGCTTGCAAGGCAGGCGCTTATGCCGCTGAGCTAAATCCCCAGGCCCTGCACATTTGGTTTTAAGGACACACATCTTAAAGGACAAACATTTCTTCTCATTTCCTACAGGTACCATCAAATCTATGGGAAAGGAAAATCATCACTTACCTTCTGATGCTGTCAAAATAGTGCTTAATGATTATCACAGTGGTACAGCTGCTTCCTAGAATGCATTAAACTAACTGCCAATGGGTCATTTCTTCTTCTAGTTTATAACAACACAGTCAGGTGTTTCTAGATCATGAATTGGGTCTTACAAATCATCAGTGATCAGAATGCCTATGAAACTACAGGCGTTTTAAAATAACAAGTTACATAGATGTCAAAGTATGTCAAAATTTGATTCCTAGGAATCAGAATAGACTATGAATTATATATTCTAAAAAACACCAATAGCTAAAATGCTATAATTAAACAAATAAATAATTATACATCCAAGGGTAAGAATTATAAATGTGCTACTGTTCAAAAGTACATTCTTTCCCACTAAAAATCTATTTCTTTTTCTCTTTGTAGCTGAAAATTAAGTCATTATAACATAATCAAAAGACTTTGTGTAAATCAAATAAGCAATTTTGCTTTGGGTAAAAACATCATAAAATTTCAGGAAATATAACCATGGCTAAACAGCAATATCACTATTACTATTACAATTTATAATTATTTTAAAATAGAATTGATTAAAATATAAAACACATGCAACTACAAAGACTGCAGACAAACATTTTTATATTTAGAAAATGTAAAATACCTTCTGCTCACCTTTCGCTCATGAGCTCATCTGAGACCTTTTGCTCTTCATAATCCATTTTGTCCTTGTTGGTCGGGGTTATTTCCTCACTTTCTAAAACTACACCTTCATCTTGCATCTTTGGTCCTTGTCTGGTTATTTTCAACTTCCTTTTCTTCATTTTGTTCTTGGTGAATTCTTGATACTGGTAGGCTCTGTCATTGTCCATGTCCTGATCCCTGCAGCCCTCGGGTGGCTGGGTCATTGTCCGTTTGTTAGAGATGTCCTGTGGGACGTCCACCGCCATGCGCTTCACCTTTCTCCTCCTGCGAAGAGTTCTGGTCCCCAGATTGTCCACAGCGAAGTCAGATTCCTGCCAGAGGGGTCTCTTGCCTCGGATGTTATTATTTAGGTTTGAGGTCGGCCTGCGCTTGGCCACTAACATCTGGTCGTCAGAGTCACTGTGATCTTTTTTGTTATTATTGTGATTATCTCTATAGTCCTTGCTTGGTTCTTCTAAACTAGAATCAGAGCCTTCGCTTAGGCAGTACCCAGTCTCCCATGGGTGGTGGACATTGTATGACCTCCGCTTTCTCCCTCTTCTTTTCCTGGCCTGGCGTTTCAGAGGGCAGGACAGATTTCGAGCATGGTCTCCCGTTTCAGCAAACCCACCTCGGGCTTGCTCTGAGCTCTCCTCCAGGGCTGAGACCAGGTCGTGAACCAGCTCTTCCATGGTCCTACTGAAATGCCTATGTGTTTTAGAGCAAAAAATAAGTAAATCCAGCTCGCTCCTAGCTGCATAAATCTAGTTTCTTACAGTAGACAGTTTAAATTACAAATTAATAGTCACCGCAAAATGTTTGAGTTTCCCTATTTAATGCATTAGAAAATCTAAGTTACTTTGCACTCATGAGCTCACGTGAGGCCTTTTATGCTTGGTAATCCACTTTGCCTCTATTGGTTCAAATATTCTAATCCCTTTTGAAGCCTCAAGTTGTAATTTTATTAAATACAGAAATTACTATGAGACAGAGTAAGCATAACCCAGCTCAAAAGATTCCTGTAGTTTTATATTTTTACCATGCAATTATAGAAAAGCTCTGTTCTCTGGTCCACTTCTGTCCTTTTTCTAGAACTAGCCTTCCTAACACACATAGGAAAATGCTGTCAGTCCATTCCCTGCCCACTAATTTCTAAGAAAAAAAAGCATGAAATCCACTTGCCATGTGTTTTTAACCCAATCTCATGACTCTAAGAAATATAAACACAGACAGGTATAGTCAAGAAAATAATGAAAAAAAAAGTTTAGCTAAACACTAGGGATATATTTAGGCTCCACTATTCTTGTAACTCAAGGATGCAGAAATTATGCTCATATCAAAACTGTAGCCTCCATGGCCCAAAGGGAGCATCATTAGTTCACTCCACACAGTCACTTATTCCCACTGTGTCCACAAGAGTAAGCATCAGTGTTCCTGGGGGCCTTTAATAAACTGTGTGGTTCTTTCCAACTCAACTCACTAAGGTTTTTAGATTAGCAGGGCAGTACAGAGCCCAGGGATCTGATTTTACTTTTCAAACATAACAAACAGGATATACACCTTTCTGATGAAGATCATGGATAATTGTTTCTCAATCAAGTTCTAGAGTCACTCAGGAATCAAAGTGTTCCCAACAGTCCTTGAGAGGCTGGCACAGTTCCTAGACTATACGACAGGTACATACACTTTTCTGCAAGGTCCAGGAAATAAATTCGAGTCTCTCACTAATCAAGTTGTCATTACAAAGCAAAAACAGCCACAAGGAATACATAAATGAGCAAATATGGTTGGTGGGTGGGCACAGTTTGCTAAACCTTGGTCTATGTGCTCTCCATAGTTATGCCATCTTCATGTTCAGTTTCACATGTTAGCAAGGCTACTTCCCTGTAACCACATGCAACTTTTCTTTGCATTAGTGAAAACCAATCATACAAAGATCCAATGATACCCACATATGAGCACTTACTATCTGCCGGGTCCATTTCTAAGTGCATTACATGTACAGTATTACGTCATTTCATTCTTGGATGACAATCCTGAGGTAGCAGATGAAATGGAGACAGAGACATCTCTTTCACAAGGTGACACATATGTGACAGAGACAGCGTATGAACCCAGCAGGCTGGTCCCAATGCTTAGGGCCAATAGCCTTGCAGTTTCATGGCTCAGTGTATTTTTACCACTGCCTTACTCTCACAGACTCCTACTTTAGTTGTTGTGTCCGATCTAACACATCTATGTGTAAAAGCAAGCGATTCACAGTTGGTGTTGTAGTATTGAGTGGAAAAGGGGGAAGGGAGCCCGAAGCCACACAAAGTGGTTCAGGCCGTGAAGGCAAACTTAGTTCCGTGAACCAAACCTTTGTGGTTAGCAGAATGCAGGCTGCAAGTGCCTGATACAAGGCTGCTTTTCGGTTAATGGGTTTGTATTTCCTAGAATTTGCTCCTCTGGCAATCTAAGTGTATAAACTAAAAGCCTTTATGATTTTTTAAAATCACAGTGACTCAAATATGTATCTTTCTACATAAACTGGAAGACAGCTGCAATTCTTTTTCCTTTATAAAAAAGGTTCCCTGTATAATTCCAGCTTCAGAACACAGATGAGACTATGACCTGTGTGTGCACCATATCTGAATAAGCCACCTTTCTGACTACAGTGATAGCCCAATGGGCCTATATTCATTAACTTAAGGGGAATAGTTGCCTTTTGTTTCTCTAAATGCAACCAGCAATGACAATAAATGTCACGAGATGCTTTGCCAACATCTCTCGGTAAAACAGGCACCAATAGGCCACACAGAAAAAGGATTTTAAGGGTCCGTTGGGTGGTTAGTAGCTGTTTATCCCCTGGCCTTTGCTTTGGTGGTTTACTGGACCAACAGCAGAACAGTGTATCGAGTTTATCTTAAACTTAGTTAATTTCTAAGTAAGACTTTTCCTATTAAAGGACAAACCAGAAATACAGAACTTTGCTGTACAAATCTCTGTTTGTTGAACATCCAGAGTTAAAGTAAATTCAAACACAGTACCACTAAATTAATTGGGATGCTTATATTCACATTAGTAAAAACACTTCTTTTCATTTGAAACTCACATGGAAATAAAATCTTGCTTTGGGTATAGTGTTTAAACAATAGCTCATCAATAGTTTACTTAAGATTGTCCACATGAACAGAATATCCCCAAACAAAATTATAGTCCCATTATCTATAGAAAGGTTGGATTTTATAAAAGAAAAATGAGATGAGCATTCTTTTCAGGTGATATTAGATTATCCTGAGCAATAGAAAATGTATCATTGATTCAAGACTTGAGATGCCATTTTAAAGAATTTTTGCCCCCAAATCAAGTTTGCTTGTATGTTCTGTTCTAGGAAATACTAAATACTCAGTAAATGAATGATTTGCTTGGGTTCCTTACTGCCAGGCTCTAATCATTTCAGAAAAAGGTCTTCCTAAAACTGTATGCCTAAAAGTCAGAAAGATCAATTAATAAAGAAAACAGGGCACTGAGGTTAGGAGTTTTCTTCAAATATTTCTGTTTTAAGGCAGAACACAGTAACAACAAACGCTTGTATCTCCCCAAAGGACTGGAACTAATTCAGTGCAGCTACTAAACACATAATTAAGGAAAGGAAGTAAATGTTCATCACTCAGTACATAATAAAATTTTTATCTTCACCTCTGTAAAGCATGAATTATTTTTTCTACAAATTGAGTATTTTATGGGTGGAAAACTAAATATAAATTGCTAAGTACAACTTTAGTTTTCTTTGAAAAGTTTAAGGAAAGAATTATTTCTGTATTAGATTCTATATGGATATAATCCACTGAGCATAATAACATTGTCCTAAGACAATATACAGTAAAGACTGATATTTACAGATGCGTGCTATGAGCACTCAGAAGTCAGGAAAGATTAGTCAGTCTGGGAAATATTCGGCAAACAGGCAAACAACACACATTAAAACTAACATCTCACAGTATGGACTGTGACAATGATTAATCATGCAAATGGTAACAATTAAACATCTCACAGGAAAGGCTACATTTTGACTAATTAAATACAATATTACCCACAAGAATTACCTTAAATTTGACTAAGATTTATGCTGTTCATTGGAATTTATAAATTTCTTTCCTTAACGGTGTGATTATTTACCAAAATAATTCCCTATCTAGATCTACTAATATATCTTTTATTTTTTTCTTTTATGTATTTGGAGAAGGAATTTTAATAAGAATAATCTTTACAGTAAATGTTAAAACAAATTCCTTGACCTATGTATCTAAATAAACTATTAATCAGGATTAACCTCTTTCTCCTTTTGAAAGATGTAGGTTGGCATAAGAGGGAACTGCCTTTTTCTGAAACTATATGTTTCATTTATATAATGATTAACTGCAATGTTACATTAACATAATGCAATAAATATGGAATGGAATTCTCTAAAGAAGCCAGGCTGGGAGGAAACTACATCAAGAATGTGAGCTTTAGGATCAAAGCTATGAATCTGGAAGCTGAATTCCATTATATTCCTTAGTCATAGAACCTTGGACAGTTCCACTTATATTCTGTTTATTCATCATGAAAGTAAGTATAATTTCTACTGCAAAGTACTTGAGGATCAGAGTGGATACTTACTATTGACAAAAATGATTTCATCTTTCAAAACTTCTCCCTACAAAACAGCAAGCCACACAGCTTTTGAGGTGCGATCTCATGCAGAAACCAGGGGTTACCCTAATAAAAAGCACAGGCCTACAACCTTCCTGGGCTCACAAAGTATTCTGATTTGGGGGGTAGAGGGAGTGCTACACACATACGCAAAATTGTTGCATACCATTTTAGGAAGTTCCTGAATTCATTAAGGACACTATCAAGCTTTTTTTTTTTTTTTCCAAAAATCTTAAATTAGAAAAAAAAAAGTATATACCTAAGTTACTCTTATTTTAATATACAGATATTATGAGAAGGAAAAAGTGTGAAGAAAGTACTCATTCCCAGTTAAATCACAAGGTTCCCCTGCAAACAAAAACTCACTCCCCCTCCAGGAGCAGAAGTTCCACTGACTTGTATTCAGCTGTAGGTGCCCCTTGGCAGCTACGTCCTGTCACTGTGGAAGTTTGTCCCTTCTCCCTACTCTGGCAATTTGCAGAAAACTAAACCACAGTGAGCTTTAAAGAAAAAGGTCTAATTCTAACTTGTAACTTAATGATTAAAAAGGGAAAGCTGATTATTTAAAGTTGAGGACTGTTCTTTTGATTTTTTATTTCATTTAATGACTTCAAGAATCATTAGAAGCTTTATTTCTAAATGCTTCTACAATGTAAACTACTGAAAAAAGAAACTGCCCAAATGAAATAAAGTCAGATTAAATCAAACAAGACAAAAACTTAGAATATGAAAGATACTTCTAATTCTTGTTGATATCCATACACTCAAGTACCTCTTAGGTAAGCATTAGGTAGAATAGATTATAAGTCTTGCTTATTGCTTATATATGCTCAATTAGTATTTATTGATTACATAATATATCCTGAATTCCTACACAAGGAATCAGAAGACAACTGAACATTAAATGCAACTCCTACCATACTGGGTAACACATAAATTTTTAAAACTCTTCAGGAAGAACAAACTATCAAATGACTAAATGAATGTTCTGACAAATAACAGAAGAAAAATATGACGACTAAAAATTTTAGACTATTTGGATTTCAAATTTTCTGCCACATTAAGAAGCTAGACATTCTTAAGTTTCTAGTTAAGTACATGTGAAGGTAAAAGCAAATTATCAAAGCTGTTTTAAGTTTCTAGCCTGACATAATAGGACGCTAAATTAATTACTTAGCCAAATTCATTCTGGCCATTGCTTTGATCCTTAATTAAAAGAATTTGGATCATACCACCTTAACAAGAGGAAATTGAGTTCAAGACAAAAATCACTTATTAAAAAAATGCAGTTTTACTGTGCAGTTTTCTAGACCTAAAGAAAATCAAAATACCAATAAAAATTAAACTCCAGAAATAGAAGTCCAGAGCTCAGTTTCTTTTTAATGGCCTTGAGGCAAATACGAAAAGCCATATAACACAGTTAAATAAATAGGATACCACAGTTCAATAGAAAAATCATCTATAACCATTTGGTGCCTAAAATTAAGAAATCAACTTCCATATTGGAGAGAGTTTTTAAAACACCACGATAGGACTTAAATACCTCAGGAATTCCAGGATGGCTAACAAATCTGAACATAAACTTTGTAGTTCATGTATTCCTAGAACTGTTGTACATCATTCAGATACAGAAGCAGTATAGCAGATGGCTAGGAATTTCTTAGGCACACTGAAATCACACTGCAAAGAAGACATCTAGGCAGGCTGTTTAAACTATCTGTGCTTCTCCTCACCTTATATAAAATGCAAAGAATAATGTACCTACTCCGGAGGATTTACACAAGATGAGATACGTATGTAACAACTGGCACCAACTATTGAAAACTTAGTAGCAACTCCAGTGGTATTCATAGTAGTAAAACAAATGTGTACAGTTTAGTAAATGTGTGTTCAATAAATGAAAAAGAAAATTCCACTAAGAAATGCTAAACTAGAAAATAAAGGTTATAGTGTTCTGTAACACATTCATTCTGCCAAATCAGGCAAGATTTTAAGAATTTTATCCAAAAACACCAAATGCCAGATGTTACAGTTATATTCTGATGACATTAAAAAGGGTTCATGTCAAGTAGTAAAAATAGGATAGAGTCTTTAAGAGAACTCAAGGTTTCTCTGCATTATAAAGAGGTACTCCCATGATTTGGGTGTGAAGTTAAAGGCAGAAAAAGGAATTGAGAGGATCACACTTTTTAATCAAATAATAACCTACCTACAAGTCTGTAGTAAGGGGAGACAACTATACGGCACATTTTGTCTTCCACTGTTATTGAGACATTGAATGGTGTTTAAGAAAAGTATACAGCAAAGGAAATTACATGGGTGGAAATGTCTTTTACCCTGTGGGCTACACAAGTATACATGACTGCCAAAAATAACACAGTTAAGCACTTACAAAACTGTGTTTTTTATTCTACCCTAATTACACCATTCAAAAAATTGTCTCATTTTAAAAAGTGCTCCTACTTTTCTTGCTGGAACAAGTGATAGTTAAAGGTAGCTTAACCATATCTATATTCACCATAAAATGAACTAAGAATGATCAGATCCAACTCACAGTAATTGGGGAAAGAGTCTTTCAACTTTTCAGTTCTAGGTGCTAAGAAATAAATTTTCTTTGTGATCACAGACTAAAAGAATTCCTCGTTCTCTACTTTCTGCAGAATCCAAGAATGGACATGTATTTTCAAGCAACATCCTTTCACCTGCTGGTCCAAGTGCAGTTTGAGGATTGTCGGTGGAAAATGTACCTATTTCACAGCTTGTCTTACAGGAAAATGGCATGGGAGAGAGAGAAAAACAAAGACACACCTCACAGAGTTCTCAACTACAAAACTAAAGAAAGGAATAACTCCTATCTCTAAAATTCTAAGGCAAATATGGAGAAATTACTTCAGTATTCTGGTATTTTCATAAGGATAAGGTCTAATCTGACAGCACTCTGAAAAGTTAAAGCAGTGTATGAATCCAAAGTGATAATGGAGATACGAAGAATGAACGTTCGGTCCAAACCCCAACTTAATCCTGGCATTCTGGAGCCTTGGACAGCACCACACAACCTCTACGAACTGGGTCAGCGCGCTCCAGGCAGCGGGAAACAGGTGGGCTTCCAAGTCACAGAAAGAGGCATGGGGATCAGAGATTGATGTCTTTTCCGTTAGTACATCTCCAAATTTCGGGGATTCCAAGAAATTTAGCCCACGCTGGAAATTTTGGCAGCAAAGTGACGAAGGCCTGGATCAAGCTAAAGTAACTCTGCCCCGAATGCTGCCAGCAAGCAGGGGTAGAGGACCGCTGGGTAGCACAGAGCGCTTGACTTCTAAAACATCCGAAGCGTGACCCAAGCAACCGGCGAGCATGTGCTGTATTCCTTCACACATCCTCAGCACACACCAAGACGCCTCCCTCCGAGCCGGACCACAGCTAGTCTCCCGCCCAGCCGTCCCAACCCGCCCCTGGCAGCTGCGGGTCAGGCGGCCTCAGCCGGCGCGCCCGCTCCAGATCGCCCATCCCCAGGGCCGCCAGCCTCACCAGCTGTTCCCGGCGGCTGGAGCTCCGATCCCTTGGCGCCCGGCGGCCCCGAACATTAACGACACCCAGAAGCCTAGCCTGGAGGCTCAGGCCCGAGAACAAACCCCAAGTACTACAGTCCCGGCGACTTCCAAAGAGCAGTTCAGCATTTTGAGAACTTCCGGAAGCTGCCAAGAGGCGGAAAGCGGAAGTTGGACGCAACCATCAATCCCCCCCAACACTGCTTGCCTTCTTTTAGTCGCCGCGTTTCACCCATAGAAATGAAAGAATAAGTTAAACTTTTCACTGGTCAAAAATTCCTAATTCTATTTCTGGTCTTTTTATAACCTAATTGTGGTGAAAGAAAAGAAAAAATTGTGAACCCCTCTGGGGCTGGCTAGTGGTTCAGCCCAGTTGCCAGGGAGACAAGAGTAACACCAGCGGTGAGCAGGGCTGGAGTTCATGGCCACGTTAGCCCGCCTGCAGGCTCGCTCGGGGTTTATAGAAAACCAGTACTACTTTAGGAACAGGTAAGTCAGTGCAGAGAGGGGTTGCCATCAGGACTGCAGCCACTTGTTCCTCTGCAGGAGTTATCCGTGGACAAAGTCCATGCACCCCGTTCTCCCCATTAGCGGCTGCAAACTTAAGCAGAAGTTTAAAAGTAATGTCATCCACACAGCGGAATTCAGCTTGGAGCGAGACTACAGATCGAGTTGAAATGATTTAAGGAGCAGTCCAACATTGATAAAATTGTAAAGGGATGCATTTTTCTCAGACATCACGACTTCTCTGTTTGGTGAAATCTATGCTGTCCCGTCCAGAAGAGTCCAGAGGCCTAACTGGGGTCACTGGGCCCAGAGCTCAGTGTGGCCCCTACAAGGGGAGGTTTTCTGTCACAACATCTTGGACTCTATTGTTTTATGACTCCTTGCTTTTCTTAAAATGAAAGTAAACCCTCTGGGATACTTTGGATAATTAGCACCGCGGTACCCACTAACTAACAGAAAAGAGCTAAAGAAGGTACTAGCAGCGATTTTCATCTCCCTACACCAGGGAGCCTTTTGGTTCGTGGTAACTAGATTTCCAGTTTGGGTCACTAAAGTAAGGTGACTTGGCAGATAATGGAAAATAAGCCAACATGACGATTTTTCTGTACAATTTACTTTAATATTTATCTCCCTAGTAATTTATTATTTCACCATGTAGTTATTACAGCATTGATCACGGTTATATTTTAGTGAGATGATACTGTCTCACCTTTTCAACTAGTAGAAAGACTGTCTCTTTCTTGTTTCCCATTATTTTACACTCCACATTATCTTAGTTCCTGACACATTAGAGCTGGACAATAATTATTTGTTGAATAACTCCATTAATGAATCTTTTAATTACTTGTTTTTAAGCAAACATACAAAAACAGCCAGAAATTCTCTATTTAGCATTCAGAAATTATCTATTTAGTGAGCATTATTGAATAGTATGTGGCAGGCCCTGTATTTACTTCTGATAAAAATATATAAATGAAATAATTTCCATTCCTCATGATATTCACAGCCTAGTATAAAATATAGGTGTTTAAAAATTTAATCATGATATATAAAATGGAGCAAGAAGGGAAACACCTAATACTGCTTAAGTACGAATTGCATATAAGATTGTTTTAGGAACTTTTTCATGTATTTCATTTATTAGAATGTTAATGTATTAATCTGTCTCCCAACATTTTCATCGCTATACATTGGTTATATCAATTAATGGGCTTCATTTTGCCGATTTGGAAATGGACATAACATACTTTACCTATGTCCCTCCTTTACTGCCCCCTTTCTTATTCTTTCTTCTTCTCCTTCTCTTCCTCTTGTTTGTTAATAGTCTCCCCTCTACTTTCTTGTCATCTTTTTTAGATTTTACATGTCAGGGAGAAGACGAGATACTTATCTTTTTGAGTCTGACTCAACATGATGATCTCCAGAGCCATCCATTTTTCTGTAAATGATGAAATGTTGCTTATCTTCCATAGATATTACATTTTCTTTATCTGTTCCTCTGTTAACGGGCAAGTTTTGGTTCCATATCTTGACTATTGTCCTTGTACCACAATAAACATGAGTATATAGGAATTCCTATGGTATGCTAACCTTAATTCCTTCAGGTATGTACCAAGGATTGGTACAGTTGGTCAGAATTGTGATCACCAAGAACACAAATAAAATGAAACATGCTGATGAGAATGCACAGAGAAAGGAACCCTTCCATAAATTAAATTAATACTACCACTGTGTAAATCAACATGAAGGTTCCTCAAAAAACCCTCAAAGACATATTTTTAAGAGCTCTGAAACACTATTGTAGAAAATCCTGATGAAGTATTACACAATAGCAAAAGGCATAATTTCTCCTTGCATATTTCAGGATCAGCCTTTGTCCTAACCTTCTGGGTTTTGACAGTGGACACATTTCCTCAAACCTGGAGACTGCTTACAGAAATAACTAGTACTATTCAAAGGCCATGATTAAAATAAACTGGCATTCCTAACATTTTGTATATAATTATCAATAATAATATTTTCAGCATGAAGGAAAGTCTCTAAACATCATGAAGGAATCAAAATTTGAAATTCTGCCTATTTGAAATAAAGACCATGGTGACTATAATATAACTTACTTTTAAACCTTACCTTTCCAACATCAGGTTGAGGTAGAGAAATGACTAGCTAATAAAGGCTGAGGATGTACATGCAGTTCATTACCCTGCATAAATCTAAAATGTGATTTTCTTAAACTGGGTTGATTTTAGAATCTCTTATCCCCACAAATACATTTTTTTTTTGACTCCGACAACTAACTGCAGTTCTTAACTATGTTCTTAGGCGTGCTGGTAAACTGGCTCAGTGTCTGAATTTGGGCAATCCCCTTTGCCCCAGTAATCTTAGCATACTTGCCCTATTAATCAGAACAATGGCATACTTGACTAGAGATGAGTCTCTTTTATTCTATTAAATTACTAAATTTTCTGTTTCATAATTTTGATAGATGGGCCTTAGCAGTATTTTTCCAAGTATTTGGAAATGATTCGTGCCAACGTGTAGAAGCAATTCAATTTTAACTCTGTGTTACTTTAGATTTAAACAAAAACTCTTAAACACTTACTTCACTTGGGGCTGGGGATTTAGCTCAGCGGCATAAGCATCTGCCTAGCAAACGTGGGGTCTTGAGTTTAACTCCCAAAAGACAGAATGTAAAAGTCTTATGATCAACGTAGTAAATGTTAAATAAGCAATTAATAAATACTTATTCTTGGGTTTCTTTCCCTCTTTTGAAAATTAAAAATGTTTATTGATGTATTAGTCAACATTTTCTTTGGCATATTTTTAATTATATATTTAATGAAGTGCATATGTTGTCAATATGCACTTCTTTTACATACATTATATGTGGTACCTGTGTACCTCAGTGTAATCTTCACTGAGATAAAATTCTTTAATACTTCCTCTTTAAAAATAAAAATTTTTTATCATAAAGAATATATTTCTAAAACTAACAGCCACCATCAGATATATTTATGAAATAAAATATAGCTCAATTTAATTCAAAGGCAAAATAAAAATGCACAGTAATCCTGCTTATGCCTCATTCTTTAACAAAAACATGTTCACTGATTTCTCATTAAAGAGACAAAGAATTGTCATTTTTACTGGCTGTGAGTCCATCACTGCCGAGGTAACCTAAATAGACAGCCCTGTGTACATATCAAGAAATTGAAAATACCCAGAGAAAGTTCACATATCGTTTAAAGGAATGTTAGTTTAGACTAAAGGAAGGAGATTAAACCCACCAACCAAATCATGAGGCTTCTGTAGAGGTGGAACTAATGGACAAAATAAATATGTGGATAAAATGATGGTAACTTTTGCAGAGATAAAAATTAGAGGAGAAAAAGTATAGTAACCTACTTTAACAGAAAATTTAATTGAGAAATGTAATGCTGAATTAAAGATAGAATGATCACTACTAAAATGTAAATGTTTTAGGAAAGCAATGGAATCCACAAGCATACATAAATAGAAACTGTGATAAGATTAATAACATGGCAGAAGACTTATTATGTGAATAGTAATTGCTGCTGGATTTAGAGTGGAAAAGAAGTAGGTTAATGATAAATACTAGAACAAACTTTCCTAAGCTGAAGAAAGTTTAGCTTTGAATAGAAAAGGCTGAGTCTTCAGTAGGATTTCTTTTGAAGGCTTACTTTTTAGATGTTATATGATGACATTTCAAAAAATAAACAGTTTCACAAGCTTCTACTCTTGCCAGAAGAAAAATATTGCTAAAGAAGAACACTACCCTGGATACCCTGTCTGCTAAAGCCTAGAAGATAGAAAAGAGTGATAATCACTAACCATCCAAGATGGCATCTAACAATCCTAGCAAAGGTTTATGTTTTGGGGATAGCATGAAAGAAAGACATCTTCAGACAAGCAGAGACTCAGTTATATCATCTATGTGCTTTTCTCTGAGGAAATACATTTAAGAAATTTTAATATTCTATAGTCAAATGAACTTTAAATCAGAATGACTGTCAATCGAAGAAAGATTTTAGTCTACCATGGAATAATCTTTCCAAGCCTACAATTATGCAGTAGTTGTCTATATCTCCTTATTATGAAGTTTCTTAGTATAATACTGAGCAGTTTCCCAGTCTGTCCAACTTTTCTCATGTATTCCCTATGATGAATGAGATTATTATGTACGTCTAACATGTGCTAATAAAATTAATTTTAGAAAACAAAAAAATAGCTGGGTGTGCTGGCACACACTTGTAATCCCAGCACTCAGGAGGCTGAAGCAAGAGGATTGCCATGAGTTGAGGCCAGCCTCAGTTACATAGTGAGTTCAGGGTTAGCCTGAACTGCATAGCAAGACACTGTCTCAAGCCCTGCGCCTCCAAAAATTCTGACTTAGATTTGCAAAACCATGTCTCATAGGGTAGCAAAAGTAAATCTTAATATCATTTTATGTAAAACTGTTGAAGAGTAACTATAAAAATGCAAGGGAAAATGACTCTATTTAATAGAAACCAAGAAAATAGCCTTAAATTTTATTAATATAAACACTGGAATCTGATCTCAAGGAAAAAGAAAAGTGAGGTCAGCCAGACACCCCTGTTTTTTAGTTTACTTTATATTTTTGGTTGTTGTTGGTTTTGGGTTTTTTTGCCTAAAGAATTCTAAACAAATTCCGATCTCATACGAAAATGTAGCAAACTATGACACGTAACCAGGAGACACAAAAATCACAGAAACAAACAAACTCAGAAATGTAAAGATAATAGAATTATCAGATAATGATTTTCAAGTAGATATTTAAAATATGTTTATAGACTTAGAAAATATAAATATAAATGAATTAAAGGAAATGTAAAAATGAAGCAAATGGAAGTTTCAGAGGTCGAGAACATAGTATTTGAAATAAAATCATTTAATGTATGCACATATATCTACATAGTATTTAAATTTATTAAAACAACCTC